GGTCAAAAACTGAAAGATTTCACTTTAAAATCAGGAATAGGACAGGGATGCCCACTATCACAACTCCTGTTCAATATAGTTCTAAGAACACTGGCCAGAGCAATTAGACAAGAGAGAGAAATTAAAGGACTAAGGATAGAAAAAGAAGAACTTAGATTATAGTTATTTGCAGATGATATGATACTCTACATAGAAGAAGGCAAAAACACAGAAAGAATTTTAGGTTCAATAACCAAATTTAATAACATAGCTGGATACAAAGTCAACACTCAAAAATCAACATCTTCCTACAAGCAACAAACTCACAAAGAGAAATTAGGGAAACCACATCTTTCACAATTGCATCCAAAAAATCAAATACTTAGGAATCAAACTAACAAAGCAAGATATAGTTGTGATATCTTGTGTAAACAATATTAATATAAATCTTTCTTTTCAATGAACTAAGAGAAGTTAGTTGTATAACTATCTTAACTATCTTGTGTATAAATGTACTTTTTCTTTTCTCTTTTTTCCTTTCCCTCTTCCCCCATCACAGTTTGTCTTTCCTTTTGAATAATTTCTTCCTAATTCGCAATATCTATTGTACATTTTGGAGCTCATATACTCATTCAGTTTTCACACTAGTGTACTCTGAATAATGAGAGAGAGTAACTCTCCCACTAACCTGTTTTGAGACTGTTTATTGTTATTTTTCTCTTTAAAATAAAAACCACAAAATTTAAAAACCAACATATATGAAGATTTATGAATACATTCTATAATGCTATTAGCATAACATGGAAAGGTTAAAATCTAGTTCTTAGAATCTTTAGTATGTAAATTCAATAGTGCAAGGAATAAAACCTGTGTTCATTGTTTAAAAAAAAATCTAACACAGAAAGTAGAAGAGCTATACATTGAAAATTACAGTACTCTGAAAAAGGACATCAAAGAGGATATCAGAAAATGGAAAGATATTTCTTGCTCTTTGATAGGAAGGACCAGCAAAGTGAAAAAGACCATACTCTCAAAATTGCTATACAGATTTAATGCAATACCAATCAAAATACCACTAGCATATATCACAGAAATAGAGAAAACATTCCTAAAATTCATTTTGAACCAGAAGAAACCTAGAATTGTGAAAGCAATTCTGGGAAACAAAGGCAAGTCAGAAGGCATCACTATCCTTGACTTAAAATTATGCCATAGAGCTATTATGATAAAATCAACATGGTATTGCCAACAAAACAGACCTGAGAATCAGTGAAATAGAATAGAAGATGCAAATGCAACTTTAAAAATAGCCAACCACCTTATCTTTGACAAAGGGGCCAAACATATTCACGGGAAGAAAGATGGCCCCTTTATTTATTTATTTATGTTGAGGTACCAGGAATCAAACTCAGGACCTTGCACTTGCCAGGCAGGCACTTATGCCGCTGAGCTATATCCCCAGCCCAGCCTCTTTAGTAAGTGGTGCTGGAAAAAGTGGCTCTATACCTGTCAAAGCCTAAAACTAGACCCATATCTATCACCATGCACTAAACTAAAATCAAAATGAATCAAAGATTTAAAGATTAAAACAGAAACATAAATTTCCTGGAAGGGAAAATATGTAGAAATCCTGAAGACATAGGTGTTGGTACAGACTTTCTGAACAAAACCCAGACTACATGGGAAATACTACAAAGAATCAGCAAATGAGACCTCACCTTATTAAGAAGCTTTTGCACAACCAAATAAATCACCAACAGATTGAAAACACAAGCCACTTTGAAGATATCAATATGTAATACAACCACCATTGTTAATTCCCTACCACTTTGTTTGTAACTCTGTATTGTCTGTATTGTGCTTGTGATATGTTGTAAAATGTTGTATGTCTGTTAATGTTTCCCTCCTTTTATCTTTAAAAAAAAAAAAAGAAAAGAAAAGAAAACACAACCCAAAGAGTGGGAAAAAGATTATAGCCAGCTGTCCCTTAGACAAAACATATAAACATATAAAGAATTGAAAAAAATCAGATTACCCCAAATTCAAAGACCCAGTCTAAAACTGGGCATCTGAGAGGAATATGCACTTATCAGATAAAGAAATATAAATGGCAAATAAATATATGAAAAAATGTTCAGCATCACTGGACATTTGAGAGATGCAAATTAAAACAATACTGAGTTTCCAACTCACCAAAGAAAGAATAGCTATCATCAACAAATCAACTAATAACAGATACTGGAGGTACTCTGAGGAAAAAGGAACATTTGTCCACTGTTGGTGGGAGTGTAGACTGGTGCAACCATTGTGAAAATCAGTGTGGAGATTCCTCAAAACACTAGGATTAAAGGACTAAGAGATTCCTCAAAAAAACTAGAATTCAACCCAGTTCTTCCCCTTCTAAGTATTTTTCCAAAAGAACTAAAAACATGCTGCAGGGATATAAGTGCGCCCATGGTTATAGCAGCACAATTTGTAATTACTAAATCTTGGAAATAACCCAAATACCCATCAACTGAGGAATGGATAAAAAAATGTGATTATGTTATACAGTGGAGTACTGCTCAGCCACAAAGAAGGATAAACTGGAGACTTTTATAGGTAAATGGATGCAATTTGAGACCATATTCATAAGTGAAATAAATCAGATTCACATGTGTAAACATCATATTGTCTCTCTAGTGTGAGAAGATGAAAGAGTAAATAAGATTCAAAATTTATAGTAGATATTGTGAAATGGGAAGAACCTGTTCAATAGGAAAGAGAAACTGGTATGAGAAAAAGAGAAAAGAAGGAAGGGTAAAGGAAAAAAACAAATTATATATATATATATACACACATATGTATATATGTATATATATATATATACACACACATACATATATATAAGATAGTTGTACTGCTAATTTCTCTTAGTTCATTGAAAAGAAAGGTTTGTGTGAATATTATTTGGGCAATTTTTCACGCCTATAACATGCAACTGTTACTCTCTTATTATCTTGCTTTGAAATTTTATTTTTTTCTCTTTAAAATAAGATTTTAAAAATGATGAAACCACAACTGGTAAAACAGCTTCCATTGTTGTCCCACCTGGATAGATTATGGTAATCCACTGTCTTTCTCTGAGATCCACCTGTCATCCACTTGCACAGGTCATGGATGTAGGTGAGAATCCCCGTCTCAGACCCACAGTTTGCTCCCTGTCTCGTGTCACCACTTGCCTTACTTCTCTGCCTCCTTAATTTATAAAAGTTGCACTGTCTTCTTCCACATTTCTAGGTGTTTATCTTTCCACTTACATTGAGTTAAAGTTCTATAAATCTCTTGTCTTCATTATAAAACATATAGCTAGATTTTTCTCTTTAATAAAACTTTGCAAATAATACACATGTGGTTGTGTCATTAGCACACACTCACACAAAGCCTTAAGCTTGAAAGGAGTTGAGATGCCACACTTGCGGAAGTGAAAGACTTGTATAGTATAAAAATAAAGTAATGGCAATGTGATTCTCTCACAGCACATGGTTGACTCTGAGGCCTCAGTGAGACACAGGCTGCAGCAGCAGGGAACCTACACAACACTGCAGTCTCTGCTACCAGGTAATCTGTTCTGGACACCACTAGGAATCCTCCTGTCTTCCACATTTCACTCCTATGGACTTAACTCAGCTGACAGAGTCACAGCTGTTATGGTGTCCAGGAATATACTGTCACTTAAAAGGCAGGTCCCAGCATCATCCATTCATTCATCATATTTCTTCCCATCACAACTTGAACAAACCAGCAGACGGGAAGGTGCTTAGAAATCATCTAGGGGAAGGGATGATTGGAAACCAGAAAAGTGTAACTGAAGCAAGTATGTAGCCTGTGATGAACCTAAAACTAGCTGCTTTTACTTCCTTGGAACTCCTTCATGATTGAATGCACAAATTAGAAGAAAGAAAGAAACCACTTCTGAATGGTGTTAGGGACCCAGCACTGATGTGCAACTCTGACAGCTAATTCCTCACATGTCCCATCCAGCTGGCTCTGCACAGCGACTGCACAGCTGAAGCTTCCAGAGCCAGTGGCTATGTTTGACAGGGAACACTAAAGAGAAAGTGCAGAAGTTATTGGAGCATCATGTGGGTGCATGAATTTTCTCTTATGAGTACCCAGATCAGCAAACAGCACCCAGGGCAGCAAACAGCCCACAGAAGATCCGTAGAGGTCCCCTGAGCTGTATTCTGGTACCTACTCCCTAAAGGCAACCCTGATTGGAGCACTTTCATTCTCAATGCTTCATGCGCTGGAAACATATTAGAAAAGTTACCACCTATGACTCTATGATAATTCTTCCTAATTAGTTCCTGGCTCAGGTGTTTAATGAAAAGGATTCAGGGACAATGTAACCAGCTTCTAGAAACCTGGACCCCAGAGAGAACTGCACATCACCGCAGTGCTTCCTGCTCATTACTTCACATTCACTGTAATTTGCATCAGAAGGTTTCTGGACTCCTCAGATTATGGGCCACAGGGAGAGAGAACAGAGTGATGTCCCAGGGACAGAGATGGTGCCAAAGGAATCATTTGCCCCTGGTGAAGCAAAGACGCCTAGCACTGATAGCTTGACAAAAGTGACAGCTTGCTGTGAGCCCTTGGATGCAGACAGGATAAAAAGGGCCTGACCAGTTCTGCTCTGCCAGAAATTGTACCGGGAATGGGCTGCACAGACTGCGTAAGTGAGTACACCTGACTCTGTAGACAAGAGCTGCCTTTGGCTGTGGAAGGGAAGTACTGGAGGAAGGTTGGTTAGTGGCAGGAGCAGGAGAGGAAGGTCTGAGCACTCTGTCACTTGTGGAAAAGTCAGGTGGCAGGACATTTGCATATCTGCTATTATTTACAAAAAGCAGGAAAATATGATTGACATTTTCTAAGGAGAAATTATGTATGTGATAGTCTACAGACCAAATGGGGACCTGAGAAATTGCAGAACTTTGGAGGGAAATTTTAAGTCTTGGAAATTTTTTTTTTTTACAAGGTTAGTATGGAGTTTTATTGCTCGAGTAAGAGAACAGACTTTAGGTATTTCCCCCCATATATTTTGTTCCTGTTTTCCTGCAAAATCTGGTTCTTCTTTGTTAGATCAGTTGTAATTAGGATGATGTTGGTACACTGCAGAGGGCTGATGGACTGACCTTGCAAGCAAGGTGCCAGATGCATCAGTTGCCACAGGCATTGAAAACCGTGGGTTACCTGTTGGCGTCACATTATAGACAGGAGCCTCACTGGATGAGAAAGCAGGATATACATTCAGGAACATAGAGGGTTGCCTCACCACACCAACATAATTGTTCTGGAGAGGAGACATGATATGATATTGAGAAGTAGCTGTTGTAACGAAGTTGACAGTTGAATCAGTTGCTTGAGTGTAGCTGTCATTTGAGAGCATATGCATGGTACGGAGTGGATGCAAAACAGCATGCTGATTTATTACAGTTAGTTCTGATGATCTACATGACGTCAATGATAGTGAAGATAAATCACTTCTTCGTTGGTCAGTTGTATTGGCAATTCTCCGGCAGGTCGACCGGTTTGTTAAGTTTGGAGAGGACGAAAATAAGCTCTTTTCACTACTTTCAGCAAGTAATCCCGAATTTAGATCACCCAGGTTATCCTCTGCTCGATGATTCCTCTTACTGAAACTGGGAACTAGTGCACGAGATACTGGACAAGCCTTTTTAATCCTGACTCTTCTTTTCATTCTTACTAAGAGTTGTGGATATCCTCGTTTAAAATTTGGATGTCGATAGAACTGTAACTTGTTTAAAACAGAGGCTTCATTTTCTTCTGCCAGGAAGTCAGCAAGAGAAGCAGATCTTTGAAATGTCTGTTTCAGTTTACTGAAGCCATAAAGGTTAAGCTGTCTAACTAAACTTTGCATACTAGTAGTTTCAAATATTCTGCAAGGGCTCTTCCTTTCCAAAACTTCCTTTATAAAAAGTTCTTCGTTAATGACTATTGATGTACCAGCCTCATCCCACCCAATAGACTTAAATTTTTCACTTTCAACTAATTTCCACAGTTTCCGGGGAAAATTTAGAGAAAGAAAGTCACTATCTTCATCTGGTTCAGAGATATTGAATGCATACTTTGGTCTTTTTACAAAGAGTCCCTGAGACAAAACTTTAAAAGCTTCTTCCTCAATCAGGGACCTTAAGTCCAAGTCTTCAGTGAATGTGTAATCACATACAGAAGATGTAATACAAGTTTCTGAACCAGTGGATTCATCTTTAAAAGAAGCATCTTGAATTCCTGCAGAAGTCTCTGCCGTATCAATTTTTTCCTCAGTATCTCTTCTCACCTGCATGCTTTTGAGCACTGAGCTTCAAATACTGTTTCAGTAGGCCCACAGTTAAACCGACCCGAAGCATCACAATGCTCTACCCGAGTAGCTATGACATCACAAAATGGCTTGTCTCCTAGCAATTAATGTGCAACATCCAGCTTAAGTCTATTTTGAGGTTTGTGAGGATTCTGAAGTTTCTGAGGTTGATTTACATGGGGGATCCTCCAAATTTCATTTCCACAGAATCTTTTATTTTTTTTTATTTTAAAGATAAAGGAATGAAAACATATTAGCAAACACACATACATTTACAAAATAACACAAAAACAATACAAGCAATACTGAATTTCAGGCAAGGTGATAGGAAATTAACAATGGTTGTTGTACTACATATTGACATCTTCAAAGTGGTTACTCAGGAAAATAAATATAGATATTGTGAAACGAAAGGAAACTGCTCAAATGTAAAGAACAACTGGGATGAGGGAAAAGAGAAAAGAAGAGGAAAATTATGTATATATGTATACACAGGATAGCTAACATCGGTTGTACTACTGAATTCAATTCCTTTTTTGAAAGGAACAGTTAATGTTTATTTGTTTGATCAATCTTACAGGACACGTTTTTTAGCTTTACTTTTTCCATGAGAAGGTAGGATGCACAAAATATGCACAGTAGTAGCATCCATTTTCTTATGAATGACTCAAGCCTATTACTTAGGCTGGCGTAACACTCCATGGTATGTAAATGCCACCTTGTCATTATTGACTGATCTGATGATATACACTTGGGTCACATCCAATATCAAGCATATGAATTTTGCTGGTATAAACACGGGTTTGCATGACTGTCTGTCATATGATGTCTCTAAATCTTTGGGGAAATATACAGAAGGAGACTAGTTGGGTGAAATGGAATTTCTATTTTCTGTTTTGTGAAATCTCCATGAAGATTTCCATAGTGGTTCTACTAGTTTCCGATGCCACCAACCTTGTAGAAGTTTTCTTTTTTCCCTGCAAACTCTCACAGCATAAGTTGCCATTTGTTTTCTCGATAATGATCATTCTTTCCAGGATGAAATGGAAACTCAGTGTTGCTGTAATGTGCAGTTCCACAATGGCCTGCAGTGTTGCGCATTCACTCATGTATTTAGTGATCATTTGTACTTCTTCTGAGAAGTGTCTGTTTATTTTGCTTCCTTATCTTTTGATTATTTACCTTTAAATTTGGGAGTCTAATGTTTTCAGTTCTCATATAGTCTAGAGTTGAGCCTCCCATCTGCAGAAGGACTGGCAGAAGTTTTTCCTGCCCATTCTGTAGGCTGTTTTCACTGGGCACATATAGTTGTAAACTATTGCTGGTGATATAGTTCAGCAGCACAGTTCCTACCCAGCAACTGTGAGGTTGTTACTTTTATTTCCACTCTGTTTGCCCAGCTGCTCCTGTAGGTCTGAGCCAAACATGGCCACTTGTCCATCATAACGGTTCTGCTGCAGCAGGCATTTCTCTTCCCTGGAGCCTTCTTGGTCCTCAGGGAGACACTCAAGGGCACTGAAGTAGAGCCACTGCCTGATGGGCATAAACTTTCCTGAACAGGCCTTCATGACCTCCTGGGCAGCCAGGCCCCCAATGAAAGCATTTATGGGTGCAAGGTCACCAACTGCTACCTAGGCCAACTTCCGAATCAAGTCTTCATCCAGGTTGTTCTGCTGGACTGCAGGCAGGGCTCGAACATTCACATCTTGGGCTAGGGCTACCACTTCTTCTGCATCCTCCTCATTATGTGGCTTCAGTTGCTGCTTGTACTGAACACAGAATTCATGTAGGGCCTGGAAGCCAATGTGCACTTGTGCAGGTTGAGAGTAGTTAGCAAAGCCTGTTATCACAAAGTCTGGCTCTGCCAGTGAGGCTACTAAGGGTTTAAAACTAAGCTTCTTAGATACTTTGGCCTGATGTACAATGCCTCCACAGACATAATCAGAGAAGCTGGAGGTATCACAGATACTGAACATATAGGGACCTAGGACTTTGCTTTTCTATGGGGTGCATGCCATTGAGTTCACCCATGCCCTGAACTTCTGAGGAGACATAATTGCCACTCTTAAATCCATGCTCGGCTTCCTCCAGTCAGGTTACAATTCCAGGGCTGTCCTTGAAGACCACAGAAACCACAGCATTCAGTGGCTTCTCCCCAGTGGAATCTGTGAGAATCATTTCCTCTCTAAAGTCACAGAAGAGCTGCCTGTAGCTGGTATTGCAAAGGAGTGTTGGCAAGAACCACCACCTGGAAACCACTAAGAAAGTCCTTCTCCAGGGGTCCAGTGTAGGTGCTGACAGGCACGTAGCTGTTGAGTTCAGCAAGGTGAGGGGATGACATCTCAGCTCAGTTTTTACCAATATCCTCCTCATGAAGATAGTACTGGGAGTAGAGGTCAGATCGCTGGGCTGTGCCTTCATCATGGAGAGTGACAGCCTTTACGCACCCACCAAGGATGATATTCTTTGCAATCTCCACACCTAGGCCCCGCAAACCTGACACCAGCACACTGGATTTCTGGAGATGTTTCACTGACTCATGACCCAACATATATAGTTGATGGGAGTAAAGAGCTTCATCAATGTCGGTTTCAGAAATACTTTAATAAATTGTGTATTGAAAAACTAAATACATTTGAGTTAGAAAATCATACCATACTTCAAGAATACTTATAACATTCAAATTATTGAAAAAGAATAATATGTACATAATTATATAAATTATAAAATGTAAATCAATGGATTACTTGAAAATCAATTTCATAAAACAGACAAAAGAGGAATTATAAAGCTCAAATAAATTTACTAAATAAATTATGTAGATAAAGTGAAACATCATTGCAACATATAAAAAATGGCTTTTTGTGGGTGGCACATACCTTTAATCCCAGCTACATAGGAGGCTGAGGAAGGACAACTGTCAGTGCAATTGAGGAAGATCCTGTATCTAAACTAAAACAAACAACAGAAACAAAAATGATAACAGTGGCACAGGGTGCGCTATTCCATGTCAAAAGGGAAGAATTTGGGAATACAAAGGAAGGATTGAAACAAATAGGACTGAAATTCATCAGAACAAACATTAAATCCTACGGCCACACAGCCAGCATCTCAGTAACATGATATGAGCTCTAAACGGCATGGGTAGCCCCAACCCTATGGCCTTGCTAGCAGCAGCTAGTGTATCTACTAAGCTACAAAATGTGGTCCAGTAGCTCCAAATTAACTCTCTCTATATAATGTACGTTAATTCTGCAACACAATATTATTCCAAAGTCATACTTATTTTGAAAATTGATCATCTTTATTTCACAAAGATACACAGACACCATTAATGTAAGAATCCATACATTATGGTTTCTGAACATTTACTCACTAGTGGTTTCTGTGATAGGTTGTTGTCCTTTGTGGTTCAGGGAAAGCTTAGATGGCTGATGTTTGTAAGAGCCCAACTTTTCTTCCTTTTTACCCAGCAAGTTAATCTTTTCAGGAGTCTTGCCAGATGTTTTCTTTGGTTGCCTCTCCCTGTCACTGCTTAATTTGATAGATTTCATTTTCTAGTTGAACAACAGTCTGTTCTATCATGTAATTCTTTCTGACCAGCGATATCCAATTTGACTCCATTTCTCTCAGTTTAGATCCAACTGAGAGTTGCACGTTCCTCCACTGCCAGTTTAAATCTTGAATATGTTTCCTTAATTTCCGAAGCTCTTTCTGTGTGTGTTCAATCATATGAACTGGATTTTCGTTATATACTTTCCAGGCATTATATCCATGCTGTGACATTAGTTCCAGATTCTCATTTCAAACTGCCTGATGCTCTACTTGGAGCATAGAACTGTTTACAGATTCTTGCCATGCACAGTGTCATTTTTCTGACCAGAAGAAGGGGCTGGAACCTCATTCTGTTTCAGACTGAACAATTCAATTGGTTGTCAAGCAGCCAGTCTTTCATATTTGTTTCTCATTATGTCAATTTCAAGAGCAGAATAATCCGGGGTTGCTGAGTAGCTCAGGTAATTCTTAGTAGGTTGGTATCTGTGAATTTCCTCCTCTATGAGTGCCTCAGCTTCTTCCCTCGTGCCTTGTGCTTATTAGCTTGGCAGATGTGGTCAAACAAAACTGATCTTGATCATGTTCAGACTCAGAAAACTCAGAGGAGAGTATGTACTCTTGGATGGCAGGCATGGGTTTGGTGGCTGGAGAGGCAGTAGTGACTGCCCTGCCACAAAAAAATGGCTTTCAACCTTGTTAAAGGAGTCATTTTCTTCTTTCTAACCGGACTTGGCACGGTGATGAACATCTCTGTTTTTATGAATTATATATGCATCATTGGAAGCACTGAGAAGAAATCTATGCACCTTATTCTCATCCATTTGGTTTTTACAAATACCATACTGCTTCTTTCCAAGGGAATTCCAAGGACAATAGCAACTTTTGGCTTGAGAAACTTCCTGGACAACATAGGTTGTAAGATTGTTGTTTACCTGGAGCGGGTGGCCCGGGGCCTCTCCATCTGCACCAGCAGTCTCCTCACTGTGGTTCAGGCCATCACCATTAGTCCCAGACATTGTGGATGGAGGAAGCTCAACCCCAAATCAGCATGGCACATTTTTTCCTTGTTTCTACTATTTTGGATTCTGAATTCCTTGATAAGCATAAACTTGTTCTATATCATCACAAATATCAACCTGAACTCATCAAAAACAGGTGAAAATGACTCCTATTGTTTTCTACCAAGAAGCCAGAAAATTAACTGGATTTTTCTCACTCTCTTCACCCTGAGAGACACCATGTGTCAGGGTGTCATGGGTGGATCTAGTGTCTACATGGTGTTTCTTCTCCACAGGCACCATCAGCGTGTTCTCCACCTGCAGCTCTCCAAGTTCCTCTACAAAACTCCACCTGAGGTCAAAGCTGCTCAAAGTGTTCTTCTTCTGATGTTTTCTTTTCTTTTTTTTTATTGGACAGATTGTTTCCTATCTTTATATTTAATTTTCGCCTTCAAGAATGAATCCATAACAAACAATCTTCAAGAATTTCTGATACTTGGTTATGCAATACTCAGCCCATTTGTGCTGATTCACAGATATGAACACCGGAGTAAATGCTGGCATGCTTAATAGCATGGAAAGACATCAAGAAATTGTGTTTCATTCATCTTTCCTGTAAGTAGTGGGAATATACTCTTCATTCTGTTCTTCTGTGCAGAAGAAAAGTATCTTGCCAAAATGATTATGTATGTACAGGTTTATTATCAGACAATAATCCTGGTGACCTGCATCCCTAAGCTGAAATACAGATCCTGGAAAAGTAAGTGTTGGATGTGATGGTGCATGCTTGTAATCCCATCTTTCTGGAAGCCTTAAACAGGTGGATTTCAAGTTGGAGTCCAGCCTGGGCAACTGAGAGAATTAGCAAGACCCTGCGTAGGTATAAAAAAAATTTAAAAGGGCTGAAGTGCTAACGCATTGGGTGGAATTCCTAGTAAAACACACACACACACACATTGTACAGAAATCTTTCTTCACTCAGCCACCCACTAGAAGTGCTTTTCTTCTAATGCTTGAAGGATTGGTCTTTTATTAGCCCTGTTTCAGCAATAAAAAGCAAGGCAAAGATTTACAAAATTTCATCAAAATATCTCAGGGACCTTCCTTTAGGCTGCTGAATTACATTTCTTGGAATTTATCTTACAGCTATACTTGCTCTTTGAGATTTATTATAGGAAAAGCATAAATTATAATGTTCCTTGTTTTTAAAATACAACAAATACCTACAAAAAGTGATCATTTGTTTGTTTACTCTTTGGCTACTTATAAATATCCACAAGCATTTAACAACAGAAAATTATTTTATGGAATTTGATGAGACAGTGCTTAAGTCCTAATGTATTCGTGTGGAATGACACACAATACGTAATTTCAATCAATAGAATAATGATGCCTGAGAAACAGGATTCAAACTACAGTGAGATCTATTTAATTTGTTACTATGTGAAGACTGGCAGAATCTAAGAGAATCTATGAATTTTGGGAGAAACTCGTAAATGAATGTATAGAAAAATGTAATTTAAAACTTTCTGCATTTTTATCTCTAGGTATGTAAATTCATATTTTTTCAAAATGAATAAATTCTGTTTTAATTCATCCTAAGCATCATTTCTTAGTGGACAGGCACTCTCTGTAATGCTATCAGTCACTTTATCACCCTACAGCTACAAAATATTCTAAATCTACATTAGTTTAAACAAAGAAATCAGTTTGTAGTTTTTGAAATTTGAATCAAGAACAAGAGATTTTTGAGCAGTGAGAATGGAAGGGAAGGCAAGTGTGGTGGTGTACACCTGTCATCTCAGCATGATGGAGACAGAGGTGGGAGGATTACCAAACATGTGAGGCCATTCTGGTCTACACAGTAAGCTCAACACAAGACTAAAATAGATAGTGAGATGATGCTTAACAGCAAAAAAAAAGCACAAAACAAAAAGAATGGTTCAAAGATATGTGACTGCTGGCAAAACATGACCAAATATAGCACGGAAAATGGAGTTGTGCAAACCAGTACTATTTTGCCTTCATTCTGTGTTATAATTTATATGTAATATGACCCTCCGCCAAAGTCTCATGTGTTTGGAAGACAGATTGGATAATGGAGTTCTACACTTAATGGGGGATTCAAAAATTGATTAGTTTGACAATGAATGTAGGAAGTGGGACCTGTTTGGAAACAGGTCTCTGGGAAACCCAGAAAGGTGACTCTTGTCACCAACTCCATTCCCCTCTCTGCTTCCTCACCACTATAGCACAAGCAGTTTTCCACCACTATGCCCTGTGCTGGCTGGTTATGCCTAGGAGCCAGCCAGCCTATGACCGAATCCTCTGAATGTGAGCTCAAATCAGTTCTTCCTCCTTGGAATTGCAGGCGCTGAATATTTTGTCTTTGGCAGGAAAGTGACTAAATACTCTAAATATTCAGGATTGAGTGGGGTGAAATAAAATTGGATATAAACTGGTCAGGAGAGAAAATTAAAATAAAAATATGTAATTAAAATTGTTACAAATCTTATTATATGAGAGGTAGAGATGAGAACCTGGAAATATAGAATTTTGGAACACACGGATGCATACTATTGTGTAACTACACCAACTTTCAATCCCATACGCTCATAGAGTTTTATCAGTATAATGCAATAGGAAAATGAACCCTGTATTAATTTTGTGTGTAAAATTTTACATGAGACTTGAAGGAAAAATTAGCTGAAAAATCATAATCCAGATTAATGTTTCTTTCACACATTTTTGATCTATTCCCACACATATTTCTATCTTGAATCAAAACCAGTCTATGGCTTTTTCCTGAGTAATTTTCTGCAGTGTGCATAGCTTTGTTTTACAGTCTATCATGCTCTAAAATTTACTGCACAATTTTCATGTGTACGTAGAACATCACGAAATGCTGTAGTCCTGTTAATCATAATTCTAAAGCATATTTCTTACTTTCTAGTTAACAACTCGGACTTGCTCATAAATAAAGCATTATAGTTACTCTTATCAATCCTATGAATCTAGTGAATTTATAGGTAGTAGGACAGATAACAGCATGTGTATCTACATAGTAATGGATAAAATTTAGATGTAAAAGATTTAATTGCAAAGTATAATTTCTTCAGAAATTAAATGGAGCAAAATTTTAAAATAGGACTGATAATGTTATAAATATAAAGAAATTTAGATGTATTTGCGAAGAGCATAGTGTTTGCATTTGTTGGAGTCTCCTTACCAAGAAATTATAGGCAATTATTCATAATGATAAGATTATAAAAAATATTACAATTACTAAAAATAGTTGCTGAAAATTAGGTGTTTTTGAATAATTGGTATCACCCTAGAATGTGGTATTTTCTAAGTCGTCATATTCTGATACTTTTTTAGTAATGCATATTGAAATATTTAATAGTGAAATGTAATGATTCCTGCATTTGCTTTAAAGTATTCTGGTGTTCTGGGGAGGAAATGAGAGAAAACACTTGAAAAACTGTCACCAGCTCAGTGATGAAAGTGGATCCCTGATTCTCTTGGACATCATCTGTCTGTTTGTGTCACATGTTCTATAATAAGCATAGAGGGCTTGAGAGCCGTGTTTTTGAAGTCTGAGGCTACAACAGGCTCTACGACTTCCCAGAGCCCAATCCTCTGCGTTCAAGCAATGGCCATTAAACTAACTTGAGAACCAGTGAGTAAGAGTAAACATATCATGCAGGATGAGTAACACAAGATAGACTTTTCGGGATTGCATTAAATCTCTATAACAGTTTTGGGAGTATGGCCATTTTCACAATGTTGGTTCTTGCTATCCATCAGCAAGGAGTATCTTTCCATTTTCTGAAATCCTCTTCAATCTCTTTTTTCAGAGTACTGTAATTTTCAATATATAAACCTTTACTTCCTTTGTTAGACTGATTCACAAGTATTTCATTTTTTTGGATGCTATTGTGAACGGTGTGGTTTCTCTAATTTCTCTCTCAATCAGTTTGTTGTTTGTGTATAGGAATACTACTGCTTTTTGAGTATAGACTGTGTATAAAGCCACAATACTGAATTTGGTTACTAAATCTAGAAGTCTTTTGGTGGAGTTCTTGGGATCTTCTACATAGAGTATCATGTCATTTGTGAATAATGATAGTTTAACTTCTTCCTTTCCTATCCTTATTCTTTTTATTTTTCTCTCTTGTCTAATTGCTCTGCTTAATGATTCCAGAATTATACTGAAAATGAGTGGTGAAAGTGAACATCCTTGTCTTTTCCCAATTTTAGATTGAAAGCTTTCAGATTTTGTCCATTTAGTGTGATATTTATTATTGATTTGTCATAGATGGCTTTTATCAGATTGAGGTAAAGACCATCTATTCCAATTTTCTGTAGGATTCTTATCATGAATGAATGCTACACTTTATCAAAAGCTTTTTCTGCATCTATTGTGATGAGAATGTGCTTTTTTTGTTTTGGCTCTGTTGATATGGTGTCTTACATTTATTGAGTTGGGTATGTTGAAACAGCCCTGCATTCCTGGGATGAATCCCACTTGGTCATGGTATATAATCTTCTGATTTGCTGCATTCTGTTTGCTAGTATTTTATTGAGGATTTTTGCATGTATGTTCATTAGGGATATTGGCCTGTAGTTTTCTTTTTTGGTTGGATCTTTCTCTGGTTTTGGTATCAAGGTAATACTTGCCTCTAGGAATGAGTTAGGGAGTATTGCTCCCCTTTCAATTTCATTAAAGAGTTTGATAAGTATTGGCATTTAAATCTTCTCTAAATTTCTTGTAGAATTCAGTTGTGAATCCATCAGGACCTGGGCTTTTCTTTATTACTAACTTTTTAATTACATTTCAATTTCATTAACTGATGGTTTATTCAGAATTTTTGTGTCTTCTTGATACAGCTTTGGCAACAATATGCAATATAATAACAGTTTATAAATTTCCTACCATCTTGTTTTGCAATTTTATAGTATTTTTATTACTTTTTCTCTTTAAAATAAAAAAGATAGAATTATCTGTGACTTGACCATTCAGACCACCATAAAAGTATGCCAAGAAATGGCAAAGACAAGGATCCTATCAGATCTAATGATGAGGGAGGAACAGGAGCAGTGACAGGAAGTTGGGAAGAATATGAAAACCTTGGAATTGCTGTCTCTAGGGTCAACAGCCCACAGCATATAGTACCACAGGGAAATGCAGCTCATATGTCATTTTCACTAAAAGGGGTGCCACAATAATGGGGTTTCTTTAATCTCAAAGGAAAATACTATTTCTCAAGAATATTTTGTCTTTTTGAAGACACATGTCACACAAACATCTTTGTTGAGCATTCTTTAACCTTGTTTCATCTCTTTCTTTTCATGATAAATAACCAAATACTAAATATATTTAGAAGCAAGTCTAAAGCTTTCAGGTGCAGGTACTCTAGGGAACATGAAGGAAATAGTGAGGTATTTCAGTTTTTTAATGATGGAATAGAATGATACATTCTCTCCAATATTCAGTGTTTAAAATTGTCATAATACAATGATTGGTTTTTTAATATTTTAATTACTAATATAATTAACAAGTAAAA